CTCGACCTCAGCTCGGGACATCTCCGATCTCTCACGAGCCAGCTCGGACTTCCGAGCTCCAAAATCATAGGCTCGAACCATGGAATTCATCGAGTGGAAGGCCTGAAATAGAACGAGAATCATTAGCAAACAAATATGGAAACGATAATAAAACACGTCAGGGACAGATCGATACCTTCAGAAATCCAGCAGCGGTTTCACGGTAGTTTTGAGCCTCCAGCAAGGCCTCGGGAGCAGACAGTGGTGGACCCGAGCAAGAAGCAACAAAATTCGCCGAAGCAACCTTGTCCTTGTATACTAGAGTTTCACTACGACTCCTCTTCTCCTTCCTAGAAACTCCCGAGCCATCACCTCGGGGTCTTTTTCCCCTCGCTTTGGATTTCGCCTCGGCGACTGGAGCAGCAACAACCAGAGCCCCTACCACCTCGGGGACATCGGTCGTAGGGGAGATATGCCCAGCCACCTCGGGCACGATCGAAGCCATATCCCGAGCTTCATCAGTCGCCTCGGCACCATCGACGACCTCAGGGCTGGCCTCGGGAGGAGTAGGAGGTCTGAAGTTTGCCTCCAAAACCGCTCTTTCCTTAGCCGCCTTCTTTTCGGCAGCTTTCCTGGCTCTCAGAGACTGCGCAGCGCCCTGCATTTCAATAAGATGATCTAAACGGTGGTCGGAAGACTCTGAAGACGAACGACAAGGGTCTCCGTGCAACAATCGCAAGGCTCTCTCAATTCTATCTCGGGATAAATGCTTCGTCCAATCGCACTTCCGAGTTATCAGTTCGTCGTGCAGATCTAGGAAGCCCTCAGGAACGTTCTCGAGAAATGACGGGTTCCGATCTGCATGAACAAAAAAACAGTCAGTAAAGGTTGAAATAAAACAAAGCAGCAAGAACGACTTGGGGCGTAAATACCAATTTTTCTCCATTTCCCAACAACTTTTCCTAAGTAATCCTCATGGACACTATACTCGTCCAAAGATACGTAGAAGAAGTGATCAGTATACTTCTCATCCTTGCTCGGAAACCCGCCTATAACCCTCCTATTCGGCCTCGGAGATATGTAAAACCTCTCTATAAGGCCTGGTATGCGCCGAACCTCCAGGAGATTCCTTAAGTAACTAAGGTCAACGATATTGACCGTCTCGATACCTCGGACTAAAATCCCCACTAGATGCCGCAGGCCTCGGGTCGTTATCTGGGATAGAGCAATCTTGTACGACCACAGAAACGCCAAAATCGGCCTCGGGATTGGAAGCCAAAGGTAGCAATGGTAGAAGAACCCCTCATAAAGGGTGAAAAACCCCTCGGGCGGATCATCTGCTCGCTCATTCGGAGTTGGAAGTCTTAGTTCGATCCCCTCGCTAAAACCAAACCGGGCCTTGAGATCCCGAAGGTGGAACCCGCGGGATCGGGTTTCCTAGCTTTCTTGGCTCGTTTTCTCTTCTGTTGACCCTTGGCTGCTTGGACTTTAGCTTGAAGCAACCTGGCCGCCTGTCAGAGTCATAATGAACCTCCTCAGCCTTAATAGGAAGTAGAGGCGCCTCGGGGGCATTTTGCCAGCACGAGACTCCAGCTTCACCAACTACCTGTGGATGGACCCCCCTCTTATTCAAAATTGCCTCGGGATCATCAGGCAAATCCTGATCCCGAGCCACATCTGCAATCGTGTCTTCCCGAGCAATGAAATGGCTCGGGTCTTCTTCCCGTGAGGCCGACTCTGCATCACTACCGCGGTACAACTCGATCTGACGGTCCGTGGTGTCCGCCTCGGGGTCACTCGAAGAACTCCAGACCATCTTTCTCTTGTAGACAGGGAGAAGAGTGTCGCCTCGGGGCGAATCACTGGAATCAGAGAGAGACATTTTCTGGCTCGGGCAATTGAAGAAGTTGATCGGAAGAACAAAGCTTGGCAGATCGGAGAAATCAACCTAGATCTAATAACGGTGGCGCTACGCAGAAGTATAACAGAAAAAGTATTAAAATGGAAGAGCTCAAGATCAGAGAGAGAAGAGAACGAACCTTGAAAATTTTCCTTTGCAGTTGCGAAATGAGAGAATGAGTCGGAGACTTAACATTTATAGGGATTTAGGGCGCGTCGGGTACGAACGAGCCGAATAAAACACATCGTGTCCACATCTAAGGCGCGTCGGGCACGCGCGAATTGAATAGGATACTTCACATCCGCACGAATCTCGGGAATCAGCGAAGGACCTTTTCACTTCTCGAGAAGGAATCCCAACCGTCACACGCCAAGAGAAGATGAAACGACAGAAGAATTCGAATCACTAAAAACTTTAAAGGGACCGAACTGTCCGAAGTAAACGGCTCGGCCCAATTGTCATAAAGCTCGTCACGCTTGGTTCTCCAAACTAACAAGCTGGGGGGCTAACTGTTGGGGTCGGATTCCATCCTTTGGCGCCGAGCCAGACTTAGGGCACCTCGGGAGTTTTTCAGTGATCACCTCGGGGCATCGCATCATCCACCTCGGGTTATCCATCTAATCAGTTTAGGGTACCCGAGCCCATCGCCTCGGGGGTACCCAAACGAGACGTCTCGGGGTACCCGAGCCCAGTCGCTTCGGGGGTACCCGAGCGCAGTTCCCTCAAGGGTACCCGAGCCCAGTCGCCTCGGGGGTTACCGAGCCCAGTTGCCTTGGGGATACCCGAACAAGTCATCCTAGAGTACCCGAGCCAGTCCTTCCTGTGTACCCGAGCCGATTGCACAAGTTCTCCGAGGCGAAGTCTTCATCAGCACCCGAGGTAAAGACTTAGTAAATATTCGTCTTCAAAGTATCATTTCCAAGCAAGGCATCATTTCCGAAAAAGAAGGATCATTTCCGATAAACCCGGAAATGATAAAGAAGAATCACGAAGGATCAACTCAAATCAGGAAATCTTCCAAAAAACTCCGAAGAATAAGGAAACTATCCTAATCCGCGATATTCTACGCCGACTTGAAGATAAATGGAAATCTTCCGAGAATATCGCTGGAGAGGCGGTTTATCACCCCTATATAAAGAGACTCAAGGCTCTCGCAGAAGACAAGCAATATCGCTCTAGAATTTATACTACACAAAGCTCTTTAGCGCAAACACCTTTTTCTTTTACGATCAGACTCTTGTACGATCAAAGCTATCTTTTTCTCAATAATATCAAGAACACCATCTTTGGTTTCGATCTGTTCTGTCGTTCTTTGAGAATTCTCGCAAATCGTATCCCTAAATTAAAACCCTAGACAAATCTTGATTGTGTAAGTTTCGACTTCCACAGTTCCTAATAATATTTTTTTTATTTTTAATCGTAAATAATATGTAAAAATGTTTTATTAACAATATAAAATAAAACATAACAATTTTAATTTATAATTACACTATTATCATTAATTAAGTTTTATTTATAATATATTTATTTAAAATATATATACCGAACCGTTTGTTTTACTCTTCACCATTCAAATATTTGTACCGCACCACATATTATTTTTCATCATTCATAAATTATCCGCACTACTATATCCGCACATATTCCGCATACTGGCTCTGAATTGTGACAGCGGATTGAGCGGTGCAGAACAAGCGGATTAAGTGATGCGGTGCAGTTTGACTACGGTTTAAAGGAGGTTAATATGAGAGAAATGCACTATGCGGAATAAGGGCAGTTAATAAAAAAAACAAGCGGTGTGGGAGAATGTTTGAATGGTGAAAACAACAACATGTAGTTTTGGACATATTAAAAAAAAGGTATGTGTGAATGATCCTCACAACTCCATTTTTCATTTTTAAATTAAAAAAAAAAGGTATGTGTGAATGGTGATACTAAGTGAAACCACAATTCCTCCAGCACCTCTATGGAGCTGGACGCTTTCCACTCGGGTAAAAATAGTTTATTGGGTTTTTTTTTTCCGAGTACTACGCCAATTATCTGCTGGCTTCTCTACTAACGTCCTCTTCGTCCTCCTCCTCCTCTTCGTCCTCCTCGTCTTCACGAGACTGTCGCTCTTGACGAGACTGTGACTCAACATCATCAGGCTGTGGCTCAACATCCTCTTCGTCCTCTTCGTCCTCCTCCTCCTCTTCGTCCTCCTCGTCTTCTTGACGAGACTGTCGCTCTTCTTCAACTACTTCATGAAAAGGGAAAGTTTGATAATAATCTTCATGAAAAGGGGAAGTTTGATCTTCTTCAACTACTTCATGAGAAGGGAAATTTTGGGGTGGCTGCTCAACATCATCAGGCTGTGGCTGTGGCTGCTCCACATATAGGTTCGGCTCAACATGAGGCTGTGACTCAACATCAACAAAGTTTTAGCCACAGAAAAGAAAAACACAGAATCTAAATATATAGACCAAGCGGGTTCCATGAGGCACTTCTGTTAGTAAAAGAAACACATTATATATTACACACATGTATTTCATGAGGCACTTGTGTTAAAAAAAAAAATGATGTACAAACAGTATATCTTTAAACTATGACACTCTACTTTCGTTTGTGTTAAACAGTATAACATCACCTCATTACTGTCATTGATATGATGACTTGGGCTTGCATGAGATGGAGGTTGTCTTCCCCGCCAGTTATTCAAAAGAATGATGTACAAAACAAACTGGAAATAATTCAATTGTTGAACCAAATTCCCTAATAGTTATTTTCAGCAATTAGCGAATTGGAACTGGTTGAGACTCATCTCCTCTTCCCTAATAGTTATTTTCAGCAAAAAGATGCAAACGTTATGAATTAATTTTCCGCTAAAGAGTCTATACTCTTCTATCTAAATGAATGAACATATAACTTTAAACTTCTTTATATAAAAAAAAAAAAAAATTTAACGCAATAAACAACTGATCAGATACTATGGCATCACCAATGCCTACCTCTCTTGGTATGTGGGACATACTATGGCATCACAAAGTGTCAAATTAAAACAAACTTGTTATGGCGGTTACTGGAAAAAAAACTTGAAATTACCTGCTGTGGAGCTTCAGATTTCCTCACAGAATAGTTATGGCGGTTATCCCACTCTTCATTCACTTTTCTGTAAAACGGACGCACAGCTCGCTAATCTTGTCCTTTATGTTGGCTAAACTTAACTTTCGTATGTTTACTCCTGCTTCTCGATAGACGTTGCAACTCTGATTTCTTCAGTCCGAGTTGCCTAAAGCATTTGTCCGGACGGTTGTAGGCGACCGCATTGAAACAAATACACGGAACCCGCAGATAGATCATCGACAACTGATCTTTAAACTCATCGGATAATTCACCAAAATCATGATAGGGTTGCCAAACAACCTGCATAAATATAATCAAGCATTTAACTTACACGAAGAATACATCACAATATATTTGCAGTTTATATCCTAAAATAAAGTATTACCTCATTCTCTTCATATTCTGAAGCAAATCTCGGAATGTTTCTATCATGGTTCCCTTCACTGGGGCTTTGGACAAAACATCCATCTAGGCTAACATAAGAGGAATTTTTTTGGCTGGAGGAGTTAGAGAGAGTTCCTCACAGACGCATGCAAACCTTTCTAAAGCAAACACCTACAATAAAGTAACATAGAACAAGAATTGTGAGTATGTATTATGAATTAAAGTAATTAATTTTCACTTCATTAAATAAAGACCTTACCATGATAGCATAAACAAACCCATATATGCTTCCGGTTTTCCTCTGATCAAGAAGAGCCTTGGTGTCATTCAATGAATCTTTTTGGAATCCCACCATCGCGGCGCCCCAAGCGTACTTGTTAACTGTGTTTCTACCCAGGAGAGGTAAATAGATAGGAGAAACCCCTTCGGTATTGTTAGGCATTATGACAGTGCCTAACAAATACAGCAGGTAAGCCTTTAGATAAGCATCACAGTCACGACACCCCTCGGGAACTTTTTCAAATCTTGTTCGCAACATATTGAGATCCAGGCGGACATTTTTATGTGCGTCTTTTCTCTTGAAATATAAGGCGTCCAACTCTGTTTCAAGTATATTTAATTCTTGTGCAATTACAAGAGCAGAGACATTCTCAACTCCAGTCACCTGCATCCCAATTGAGAATACAATAGAAAAATAGTAATGAGGAAAATAGTAATAGTAATTACAGAGAAATACCGGGTCCCCGTCAATCGAAAGGCCAGTTATGTATAAAACATGTTCGAGACTAAAGTCAACAAAAAATGACTTATTATCCCCGAAGGAAAATACACTCTCCTTTCTATCGTAGAAGTATGCCAAGGCAGTGAGGAGTGACAAATTTAGGGTGAAAGACTTTCCTTCGTGAAATTGCAGAAAATGTTTGAAGCGCGTGGCTTCAACAAGTGTTTCTACTTGTGGATCAACTTTCCACATGGGGAACTTCTTTGCCAGATGCATACTATTTGTAATGGGTTTTCTCTGGTCCTCCATCTTGCCTACAAATTCATGTTGACAAAATCAATGCATCAATAAAAAGAGATGTGTTTACATAACGAAATACAAACCAAGAACACTAACTCAATGACTCATTACAACACATTTACAAGATTTTCTAAATTTGCCAAATTGAATTTCTAACAAGATCTATATATCAACAGAGAAGACGATAGACTATTGTAAAATGTAAAGGAACAACAAAAACCTAATGACGTCATCAGCGTTAAAAAAAAGAAAAAAAAAAATCACGGTACAGATTAAAAAGAAAAAACATTTAACGGTTCAGATTATAATCTATTACGCTGACGTTATCAACGTGTAAAAAAGATTAATATGTAAATATGGATAGTAATTATGGATTTATGAATCTTGGATTGTTTTGTTTGTCGTGTGAATATAACGTGATGCTTGAATATGTTTCATCGATTTTCTTATATCATCTAATAAAATATTCTGTTTATATTACTTTTATTTTGTTTTAAGAAGTGATATTTTTTTCTACTTTCTCGTATTTCTAAAGTCTCTTTGGAATGAGAGGTGTATGGTTCTTTATATAAATGATATAGAAGTCAATACTAAATGTGTGTTTGATGCTTTCTTCGTTCCCGACACACAAATTAATAATGTCCCTAAGTTTGCTACTCTGACTTAGATTAGATGCATACAAGAGATGTTGTTGGAATAGATGTAGATCTTTTACTGCCCAATAATTTTTGGATCTGGAATTATAAATTTAACATTCAAGAGAAGTTTTTTTGATGGATAATTATAAGAGAACAAACATCATGACATTAGGATAGAAAAAATATTGTAGGTTGAGTTGATTTGTGTTGACGTGACATTATGGTTGTTCAGGTCGCATCTCTTATTTATTTTCTTCGTTGTTAGTTTGTATCATTGCTTATAACGGCTAACAGACGTTTTGTTGGATCTATGTGTAACCACATGAAACTGAGTTGTGAGAACTTTAGATTGTTTGTAGTAAAAATATAATGTTGTATAATTTCATGTTAAAATTACGTACAAAATCAAAAACTATATATTGTTTAAGGTAAAATGTAACGACATAGAGGACATATACCATTCATTTGTAGCCAATTAACAAGACAATCAACACAAAAATCATGACCACAAGTCATACATATAACAATTTGATGATTTTCGTATGCTTGAAGACATATCCTGCAAGTGGTGTCTTCCTTCTCTTCTCAATTTCCATCGATCACAACTATCTTGTTTTGTAGCGAGTCAATTGATTCTTGTGAAGCAGGTGTAAGGGCAAGTTGGCAACAACGGTTGCATTAAAAGATTCATGAATTGCTTGTTGTTCCGCTAGATCAACAGTGCTGATTACTTCACTTATGTGAAGTGATAGACGTAATGTAGTATTAATAAGAATTGAGAAGGTAGGAAAATATGCAATCTCATTGGCAATTAGGATAAAGTTCATCAATATGTCATTGGCATCATAAACCTCTACACCTTCATCCCTCAAAGATTCATAAAAACCTAGCAAATCAAAAGAAAACGAAATCAAGCAAATCAAAAGAAAATGACCTAATTGTAGGTATTCTTGCACGTTACATGATCCTAAAAGTAACGATCTTAGGTAAAGCAAGTCAGTCATGTTAAATCTTCAAAAATATTTTTTAAATGTAACACAACTGAAATAAAATTTTATTTTACAGATCATTTTCTATTATATTAAGTATAATAAATTAGTGAAAACGACCGAATTTGTAGAAAAATAAGTAGAACGAATTCTAATGTTAATCATTTCAAATTTTTACTTTCTCGTGCGGCAACACACAGACCTATTTTCTAGTCATATGTAATACCAAAGAGAAAAAATGCATTCTCCCCATCTTTACTTTCACCTCTTACTTCTCATTTTTCATAGGCAACAACTTTTTTTGTTAAACACTTAAGTCAATATATTTGTCTAATCGTTTAATACAAAGAATACACTTATTAGATGATTTAGTGGATTCTAAATTATTTGTTAGAGATACCAAAAAAATCATTCTTCTCCTTTTAATGTTGAATATGATATTTTCGGAATTTTTTAAAAACACCTTATTTTTGTTAAAGTTTTGAAATCTAAATGTGTTACAATTCTTTTAAAAACTAGTTCTTTTTATGTTGTAAAAAAATAATTATATTGTATTATCGTTAATGAGATTAAAAACTACATAGATAATATTAAAATTATAGTAATTTATTTATTATTGTTGGTGGATGAATATTAAAGAACAAGTAATATTTTGGTGTATTAGATTTTGTTAAAAACATGTGATGACAAAAAAAAAATTATTTCATAAGTTAGTGCTTTTTATATTTTTTTGTTAAAGAAATGCTTTTTATATAATTTTTACTCAACATAAATATCCATAAACCAATTGAGTTTATACTTCAAAAAATTTATTACTAAAAATAAAATAAAATAGTTAATAGTTTATCATATTTATTTTTGAAAAATTGTAAGATAAGCGTTGGATTTTAATGATTGTAGATATGATGTCTAATCGTCGATGGAACAAAAATCCTTCCACACGAACATGTTCAACTCCTCCCACCTAAATATCAACTACTTCCACAGAAACAACAGTGCCGATAAATTTACTTTTAATTCTATTTTTCTAAATAAAAATATTTATTAAATTTGACATAATAAGTTACATTGTATTCTCGAAATTTGTAGAACAAAGACAAGTACAAATAGTCGTACATTAAAAAAACATTAATTCAATTATTCGACGAAGTAATTGCCATAAATTATTACACTTTTAAGCATCCTACTACCATCAATAGAGAGTATATGGTTGAAAAGTTCAATCAAGCGTTCAACATGAATAGAACTTATTGTTTCTTCAAAAACAAGCTTGGTAATTAAATTAAAAAAAAATTGAGGTGGAAGTTTCTTATGCATAAAATTGGTATCACGGTTGATCATGATACATCCATAATATATGAATTTGACACATGATGAAGAGAACAAGAGTGTGTAAGTACACATAATCATTTTACTAATCAAAATACGATTCAAAATTTTGGTATTAAGAATCTAATTGATTATAAATTTTTAGGGATGCAATATAACAAAAAGGTTGAACAGACAACCGCCTAAGTTTTGGAACGTAATGCAACGATGTCTCATATTATATGATGTTCAATCACAATCTCAACATTCTGCTCGTCAAAGAAGAAAACAATTGACTAATGAGCATGCAATTGATGAAGAGAAGCAAGATGAATCAGACAATGATAGTGGTGACATTTCCCCCAACACAAGTTCCTGAGAGGCAAGAAGAAGAAAAAGTATATCGTTTTACCATTGATGATCATGAAACGTTACAAAATTCCGCTCCTAGAAACCAACAACATGGTAGGCTAAATTTGCAGTCAACCGCAAGGCGTGTGAGTAGTTTACAAATGTTTGGGAGAAACACACGAGTTTCTATTGGAAATGGTTCACAAGAAAATCGTAGGCGATAAACCTTTGAGACAACAATACAAGACACCATCGATGGCTACAATAAATTCCAACGACAAAGTTTTTAAAAACTTTGTCCTGGTAGTTTTGACCAAGATGATTACGATGAATTTAAAAAAAACGGAAGCGATTTTCATTGCACTAGACCTTTCCAAGCACACAAGATTTTATTGGACATGCCTTATATTAATGTACTTAAGGAACTAGTATTTTGGCGTAAGTATTTCCTTGACATATCTGGAACCATTGACGAAGATAAGTTACAACTGCTAGAAGCTATGACTAGTGTCTTACGAAACAACCAAGATATGCCAAAAAAGTTAGGTGCAGGTCATTCATTTGGGAGCCCGCATTAAAGAGGTTTATTATTTGGAATTCCATCTTCTGTGGATAATAATTTAGGAGGGCGAAATTCACCTGATTGTTGGGGTCCCGTTTATCTACACTGGGATACACCACCAAATTCTTCACATAGGAGCACATCACCAAATGCTTCACATAGGAGCACACCACCAAATGTTCTATAGTGGAGCCCACTGCCAAATGTTCCACAGTGGGACACACCATCAAACTTTCAACAAGGCGGCTCAACTGGAGCGACTCCAGCAAATGTTCAATATGAATTTTTACTTGGTGGCTAAGGAGAACATATGAGGAATACTCAACCGAAAACTTTACCATCCGATCTCGGTTTTAAGAATTATTTTGAAACTGCACAAGTGCCACAAATACCTAGACCGAGAGGTCTCCAACTTTTGGGGAACCCCACAAGAACCAAATGCAAGTCATCAAAATGATGTAGTAGATGAAAATTAGTTTGTGATGATTGTGTTTTATTAATCTTGCTTATGTTTTGAAATGAATAACGTTTTTTTAGTTTATTTTTAAATTATATTTAATTTTTATTGTAAAATAATCTATGGCTAATGAATATCGTTTTTATTAAATTTTAAACATTTCGTATATGTCAGATACGATCACAATGCCTCAACAATCTAAGTTACGAAGATAGAATTGAACTATGGAATTTGGAAAATGAATAATTTGAGGAGTTAGTAATTCAACTAGCTTTGACTTACTATGATCGATATTTTCAAAGAGTACCAGTCTAAACAGATGGAGGTTTGGGATGGATGAATATTTGGCGTTGACTACAACAAGATGATTCTGCTTATGTCACTTCCATGTTTTCCAAGATTATGTAATATG